CATACACGCCCACAAGCCCAAGTTACTCTCCGACAAGTCCAACATATTCGCCACCTGTACCGGGATACTCGCCCACAAGTCCTACGTACTCGCCGGCGTCACCTGCTTACGAGACAGATGATTAATTTATTTCTAAGTTTTTTTTGCAAATTATATTTAGGTACTTATTTTAGTAAGCTAATTATAAGTCCAACCGATTGTAATTATCGTGGTTGCACATGGTTGCAAATAAACTTGACACATATATATTTGTCAATATGACTGTATCACCTTTTTGGTATTTGGTAAATTGCACTTGTGCAATTTAATAAGAGATGATTTTATGTAAGTTTTCATACTATAAAAGATAATCTTCATATTGTTGCTAACATGAATATGATGATACTATTCATATATCAAAACTTCGAGAGCAGTTAAGAAAATGAGAAAAATGAAAAAATAATTACTTTATCCATATAGACTAAATCTATCAATTAAAAGTGTATAGCTTATAATTTTTCGATTATTAGTTATAATCGATATTTATATGTGTAGTGCACAAATTACGATGCGCTCTCGCCACTCGTACTAGGAAGGTTGTGACAAAATTAACGACGAGAGTTATATTTGAGAATTCACATGTTTTATAAGTGATTTAATTCGTGCATTGTATGCGAGAGCATCTTAGGGACCAGGGAATTTTGTAAGACAACAATCGATAAAACCAACGAACTATGGAGACTATATGATACAAAAAACGTGTAAAAATTCAGGGAGACTGCAAAAAATGTCTAAAAATTCAGTGAGATCCATTTGTATATGCGTCTTTACAATTAAATTATTACTATTGTAAACATATCTTCTATATTTAGCAAGCTGTATTTGATATAGTATGTTCGAAAAATTGCGTTTTATTCTATAGATTATTAAATATCGAAATCTATGATCGCATTAGAAATCGCGTTAGAATGCGAAAACGAAATTCTTTATTGAAGTGAAACTATCATTGTACTATCTCAGTTACATTACGTTTTATATATATATATTTTTTTTGTTTTTACCATGGAATACCTCAACTCAGCTTTAATGTTCCTGACAAATAAATTCAAAGATACGTAAAAAAAGGAATTAAATTATATAAATCTCTTACTGACAATATTTCTTAAAATAATCCGTACACTAATATATCTAGATAAGAACGGATCCGTTTATTCAGAATATTCATCCGGCTTAAATTTAAAATAAATGCGAAAGTATGAAAGATATAGAACTAGAGGTAAAATTTACTACTGGTGCAATAACAAAATTGTATTGACAAGTCTTAAAACAAGTAGCAAAAGACACCAAGAATGAAGAATTGCTATTAGTTAAATAATGTTTAGAATATGCTTTGGCGTCCATAGCGTCTGTGACAGCTTGCTAAACACGAAAATCGCATACATTGTAGGTCTTCCTCGCGGCTCTCCCATCCGGACCAAGTCACTCGTGTTCGATATGGTGTCGGGTTACCTCGCGATACGGTAAGCAAAACCGGTCCAGAATCTTACGCGATGAATGTCGTATGTATCGTGACACCGTAGCGAGCACACCGCAACATGAATTTCGAAAGTACGTCGTCCTGGAAGGACAGCAATCCGGGATTGTCATTGTTCTTCGCCACTCTGTGCATCGTCGATATTTTTGGCGTGTTCCCGATAATTGCGCTACCACGATCGATCGTCCAATGCGGTGAGATCCCGCTGCAATTTTTTTATCAGGATAAGAGAAGTTAGACGGCTATGCGAAATAGTTTGCACATAAACTGAACAACTTATGCGATCATTTATCTCTCTCAAATATCCTAGTTAAAAATATTTGTAGAAATTAAAAAAAGAAATTCCCATAAGAGGCGTGTAATAAAAGAGAATTGGTTGATTGCGGCAGCGTTTGTAATGATAGTGTGGTGATGTTTGTGATGCCGTTACGTTTACAGCGATAAGTTGTAATTAATAAAAAAAAAAAAAAAATATATAATTATTGATACCTGTGTTAATCTATCAATAAAATCAGCAGCGTGTAAATTGTTCTCTACATTTTATTTTGTTTGTATTGATCTTAATGTAGTTCTTATAATTGGAAAATTATATAAATACATATTAAAGCATAAAAAGGGATGAAAAAATGTATGTATTTATTATTAGGCTTATACGGAATCCCTTTGGTGCTTGTTGTCTTCGGTTTGCAAATTTACACGGCCATTTTGCTGGGGAGATCATGGATTATTGCGAATACTTTGGATCCACAAATTTCACGAAAGAATCGGTACTTCCACTGTCAATCTTAAATTGAAACGTTCAAAAATTGTCTGCGCATGTCTGTACAAATTTTAGAACGTCTCTTTGACATCCTAAAAATGCTAGAAATGCCTTAAATGTTTAAAAATGCTTAAAAGAATGCTTTCAGGAGGGATGGATTTTACGTTGAAATATAATTAAAATTGCAGCTATCCTCTGGCCGCAGTGACGGAATTAACGATGGGACCACGCGTACGGTCCATCGTCACTCTACTTTTGGATCTGACAGTCTTTGGTTGCGGTATTCCAAATTTATTAGTCGGTAAGTAAAAAGGCATCTTGCATTATGCCCATCATGCATTAACGCCAAAAGGCTTGACATCTACGGCTTGACTAATCTACGTTGAATAGATATAAAAAAGAAGGTATCTTCTTCATATATTGGTTTGTATTATTTTGATATGAATCTTATATGTTACGAGATATATTCCGCATATAACAATATTTTATTAAACGCACACATTATTTTTCAGCTTCGCAGAACTTGCATCTATTCGGACTCAAGGTATCAGGGCAACGTTTTGATCTTTCTTTCTGTTATTGGCTGCTAATAGTCGGCCTCTTACTTTGCCCCTTGATGTGGCTAGGCAGTCCGCGAGACATGAAGTAAGACGAATTGCATCTTTTTTTTTATTATTGCAAGCCGTACATTTTGAAAATGAATATTATTTACCATATTTACCATATTTAGGTGGGTCGCAACATGCTCCAGTATCACAGTTACTCTAACAGCGGTGTCAACGTGGTGGAGCATCGTAACCGATGACCGAATATCCGACGTCGCGCCAATTGCCACTTCGCCGACCTGGGATAAATTTATTTCCGGGTGCATGCGATTTCCCGTCATCACAGACACTTAACAACTTAAGCAAATTCGTTAATTTTAAATTATATGATATATCATATTACATTTGTTATTTTATAATTATGTCTCGTTAATTAAGTAATTACTAATTATTTGGATGAATTTTCAGATATGGCATGCTAGCGTTTCAGTTCGATGTTCATCCTACTTTAATGACGATACAGGTTGATATGCATCGTCCTCGAGATATTAACAAAGCAGTCTTTCTCTCTTTCATAGGTAAAACAGTCACGATGAAAATAAATTGTCTCATTTTATCTGCGTTTCTTGGAAGATAAATTGGCTTCTGTCCATTTGTATCAATGTAGGTTAACTTTAATCTCGGGTTAATTTATTCTTATCTTTTTCTAACTCTTAAAACTAAAAAAAAACGATAAATAATTACATAATAAAATAGGCATTTTAATATAAATTAATTGTAAAAAATTATAAGTTAAAAGAACAAATATGAGATAAGCGAACGATAAAATTTATGCCTATCATTCATGGTCTTTTAACTTAATTTTATCTTTTTTTTTTTGCAATAGACATTATACTCATCTTATTATGTAATTATTTATCAATTAACTCTAATTTACTCTAATTTAATTAATTGGGCTGATGAAAGCATAGTATAGTCGAAACTTTTCGTCGTTTCCATCCCTTTGTTTTCATGACTCTCTTCTGTATAATGAACTGTATTATAATTTATTAGAAATTCCTTATTTTCGTATCTCGCCCGTTGACTTTTTCATATCCTTTTTTTTTTTTATATAATAGCAAGCGGATTATTGTTCGCCATCACTGCTTGCCTAGCCGTGTGGAAATACGGCGGCGATACAACTGCCAATATCCTTGAAGCTGTGCCATCCGGGTCGATCGCAAACATCGCCATTCTGTTATCCGCTCTTCAACTATGCTTCTCCAGTGTGATCGGCTATTCAGCGCTGTTTCAACATCTTGAAGACCTATGGAGCGTACAGAGAAGTAAATGCAAGAATTATATATGCTTATTAGTGAGTTTTTCATCAATTTATTAATTAAAATCTCTAATTGAATTATCATCCTACCACTGCTGTTTTGAACCAGCCTTCGGATGGAAACGATGTGCCATGAGATCAGCGATAGTTTTACTCAGCGTGGTGGTAGGCGAGTCGGTGTCGCGTTTCGACATCGTCATGGCTTTGATCGGTGGATCATTAACCGGAACATTGGTCTTCGTTTTACCTCCTTTAATCTACACTCGAGTATTGGCTCTAAAGGAAAGTTCGAATTGTGCAACAAGCGAAGAGCGGATTTATTCGAGTTCTTCTCGCAGAAGATTCGACGGCGAGGAGCAGAGCTTGATGGATGCTCCTGGAGCTCATTCACGTTCAATCTATTATGGTTTTCTAAGCGGCACGAACAATCCTCGCAGGTACAAATGACGGTTATATATCTAAATATTAGAATAATAGAATTTGGTAGTGATTAGTTAAAAAAGTTGAAAGTTAACTAATAAAGTTAAAACTTAAACTTAAGTTTGGAATAATTTTAATTTTATAAAAAATTACGACATTCTAGTTTATAGAATACATTCTAATATAAATGATACTTTTTGAAATTAACTTTTAATATAACTTACGTTAATTTAATTTTTAACTGTGTTAATTTTTTGTTCATACAACTTTTAACGTAATTATTATATAAAAATTAATTATTTTATAAGCCATTAACTTTAATTTAGTTAAAAAATAATATTAACTTATCCAACCCTACTAAATATATATTTGATTTTTTTTTTAAATTAATTCTATATATGTAATATGAAAAGCTTATTTCTTTCACAATACTTTCAATTCATGCAGCTTGCAGCGTTTCAATTTCGTTTATTTTGCAACAGCTATACGTATCTATATTTCGATGACTTGGAAGATGAGACGAACTCAAAAACTTCGAGTGAATTCACCGATTGCTACGAGGACGAACGAGATAAGAAGGAAGTCACTCAAATTCCGATGATCCGCACTCATCGAGAGGAGCAGCCACTTCTTATCGATGCCGCGGAGCCAACCAGAAGTCAAATCAGAAGATCTACAGATCAGCAAGAGGAGAAGACGGCGGAAATAGTTATGGAAAGGAAGTTTTGGAATCTGGAAAAAATGATTAATTATTTCGGTTACTTCATAGTAATTATCGGCATAGCGATTACGTTGTCGTCGACATACGTTAACATTTGGAATACCATACGTTACGTGCGCTTTACACCGCCGTGTATCATCAACGCTACCGCAAATTGAAACAGTTTAGTTTCCGACTATAAAATTGTTATATAAATTTTATATAATTTATCGAATATGGAGTGAGTTATTCATGTTCTATCTATTTTAAGATAATAATGATCTATCTATTTTAAGTTAAAATTCATCATTTCATGCAAATTTGTTTCATTTGAAAATGAAGGGTGTGATAATTTCGGATATAATTTTGGAATTGAATATGTCATGAAAGTAAAAATATCGAGCAATACATTATACAATTTATTCTCATATATTTTATTTCGCTATAAGTTATAATTCCTTTTAAATATTTATTGGTGAACGAATACAATCATCGCGAACCTAATGATTTTCTAATGTTATTTTATCTTTAAATTTTTATCTTAAACTTTATAAAGAACTTTCCTGTTTAACGTTTATACATCATTGTCTTCTTTGAGAAATTTCAAATATGTCCATCTACTAATACATTAATATAAAAATATCATGTTTTATCTATTACATTAATATAAAAAATACTGATACAATAAAAGATATAGGTAGAAGAAATAAATAATTAGCAATCTGTCGTTTAAAAGAACTGACCTTCCGTTTTCTTCATAAATAAATAAATATAAAGATTGAGGAAGAAATTGACAAATATGTAGTGGTATATTGCAATGTTACCCAGATAAACAAACCTGTGCTATAAGTTTTTGACCAGAGCCAATATTTGATTACAGAAAGACAACAAATTTCACGCAAAATCTATAATAACTGTCGACAAACTGTCGCCAGAAATATGACAAAACTTATTGAGAGACTATACCAACAGATTAGCTGTAGAAATTAAATAAATTCTAGAATTCCAGAATTTGCTTGGTTTGGCAATCTGCTGTGTGCATGCTGATTCTGTTTCTATTAGCATTTTGCTATCTAGCTAGACTAAAAGTTTCAATTTTTCTTCTTAAAGTTTTACTTTTACTTTCTAAAAATATTTTATCATCTTAGCTTAACATTTTTAATAAACTATATGATTGAATGAAAATAGTAGATTTTTTTGAAAGCTATTTTCAATAATTTATGAGGAAATTGAAATATATATCAATGCATGAAAGACATGAGGTTCCACAAATATATAAAATTTTAATAAAAAAATAGTTTTAATTTATACTTGGTATATATGTGTATATATTAGTGTATATATTAGTCCGCGCGATGGTTCAATTCTAATGGGATAAAATGATTTGTGTGAAAATTTCAGTACTTTATATGATACTTCTGCATATTTTCTCTCTTTTTCTATCTGGTTGAATCTTCCAATGTAATTGGAAGACTCAATGAAAGGTTAAAGACATATTGTAATTTTGTGACTGGAAATATTTATTAGATATTTCGCGATGATGTTTTAATTAGCGAACCTATTTTCTCTATATTATATTTTGTATCTTCATTTCTTTATCTACATTATCTCTCTACCAATTGTTGAAATTTTCGAATCAACTTAGATTTCTCATACCGCAATTCGTTAATCTCTTGTTCTATGTGGTAGATTTCTTCTTTTACACGCATAATTTCCGCAAGCAGATATTTTCTTTTTAGCCTTTCCACTTCTAAAATAAAATATATTAAAAGAAGAAATACAAATATAAAGTTAAATAAAATGGCGGAAATACCTTCATAGTTTTTTCGTTTGCGGTGTAGCAGAATGTAAAGCATCACTTTATTCATTTTTTTCTTCTTCAATAAACCTCTTTACCGCAACAAGTTATGAAGTTTCTCTGATGGAATGTGAGAAATGGAAATTAACAATTATATACATATAACAGAAAATAAGTAAATAATACAAAACAAACCATAAATAAAAATATGTAAAAACAACAAAAATTAACAGTTGGCTATTCAACGATTTAAAGAATCGTGATGTTTAAAAGATGTTTAAAAAATCTTGAAGAATTGAAAAGTAAGATCCAACAGATTAGACTGCTCGAGATAAAATGCATAAAATGCACATGTGAGACTAGTGCATAGAAAAACTTGCAATAAGTAAGTTGACCAATCGTAGCCAAGAATTTTAAAATAATTTTACGTTTTTGGTCGTTTTCAACTTGATTAGCAGATCCATCTATTGACATTTTTTTTACTGCTTCTACGTACCAAATTTAAGACCAACACATTTAAGTTGCATATATTTCGATACTATCGTTTATGATTTGACCAATTTCAAATTGTGTGAAACATACTGTAGCAAAATATAGTGCAGTTTTTTGAAATTATGGAGTGATTCATTTATGTTTCTAGGATAGCTATTACAATAGCTTAAAATTTTTTCTAAAAAATTGTTTTAAAAAAAGAAACAAGAATAAAGTATTAAAAGACAAAGATTATTGGGAGTCAGACAGACTTTAAAATTTTTTTCAAATATCTACTTCTTATTGCATTTTCGTTTACAACGCAACCATTTGTATGTTTGTACAAAATATTCGCACATGATGGCACATGATAAAAAATCTCGGTGCAATGACGGGGAGAAGGAGATCAAGTGCAAAAAGTGTGTACAATAAGGCGCTTTATTTCTATAAATTTCTCGCATAATTCTTGTAGCATTGTATGGAAATAGGTACTTATTACGTGTCTATAAATAGATTCTTATTACATATTTATATACGCTTGTGCGAGTCATAGCATCGTATAAATTAATGCTCTCCAGGATTTGTAGTTTTGCTTAGATATTGACATGTCGATATTTATGTTTTTATTCTCATTTCTTACTTCGTAGCTATCTTTTCGTGTGATGATAATATCTCGGATATGAGGTTAGTTTAAAATTGTTAGAAATTTTTGACGTATATCAATGCTGTTTAAAAATGTATTATAATTATTATAAAATATATTATCATTCTTATATATTTTATAATAATGATTAAAAATTCATGAATACATATGAAAGTGAACTTGATGTGTCTAAATATACACATATATATATATACGTCAAAACATATATGTAACAATTTCAAACTGATTTCGTTTTCTGAGATAGATCATCGATATTACGAAAACAGTTACGAAGTAAGAAGTATAAAAGGCAATAAGTTTAAATGAATGATCAATACAGACCATCCGTCATATCTAAGTAAAACCTTGGATAGCACTGATATAAATATAATGCGCATGTATAAATATAACAAATTTCAGTCGCGACTCGTCGTTCTTCATTCCTTTCCCCGTTAACACTCCTCAATTCTAGTAGCCCTCTTTTACAGGGCTCGCTTAGTCAAAGAAGAGATAATTTCTTCAAGAGAATCGATCTTTTCACACACCGCCACCGCCGCCGTCACCATCGCCATCATCGCCACTCGCTGCCAGCGATTTGCCACTCTTCTCCCGTTTGGCGTTATGATAGAGGTAGGAGTGTACACGCAGACTATTACTGTTCTTATATTTATTACCACAAAGTTTACACGTGAGACTTTCAAGTGGACCATGAATATAACGAACGTGAAGTTTGAGGTTCTCCTTGCGCGTGAACTGCCGCAGGCACCAAGGACACGCATACATACGTATTATCTTGCCTTGCTCCATGCGCAACGTTGGGCCCAGTTGTGAGACCACACGTAGCGTCGTCTCCAACGGCAGACTACTACTGGGAATACCTTTGACGGTACGTCGACCCTTATTACTGGAATTCGTCGTTTCGTAGCTGAAATCACTTTGATAAGTCGCTGCATCGTTCAAACCTGTCGACAAAGAGAGAATATTAAAAATGCATTCAATTGATAAATTTTGATGAAATTATCGAGGGATTAAGACAGTAAGAAAACGTGTTAGATAATATGTATAAATTTATGAGAAAACGTAAAAAGTACAGATTAGTACAGATTAGTACAAAAGGCTTGTATTTCTGTCAAAATTAGAAATGCAATTTCAGCAAAATTCATAGATCTTTTTTAAGTATATCTTTTTTTGTTTAGAGATTTAATGTTTTTTTCAAAGAATTTTCTAATTTTCTATTTTTATTTAATATGGAGCTCAATAGAGAGAAAAATGGCAAACTTTTTGTATTAGTCTAATATATTTATAAGCAGTGCAGAATGGAAATGCGATTTCTGAGATATCGAAAAAATTATGCAGTTAAAAATATAAGATGTACATTTAGAAATTGATAAGAAACACTGATTATAAAAGATGATGATGATACAATTTGTGCTCTTTCAGTAAGAAAATTATTTTGTTATATAATTAATTCATTAATAACATTCAAGATGAATTATCAAATTCTATACAAATTATACAAATAATTAGTAATTACAAATTATCGTGAAAATATAGTTTGATGATTTTAAAAAAAGAGCAAATTGAAAGTCAATCAAAAGAACCAATTTATGTAGATGAAATTAGCTGTTATATTATTCTTTTACTGAAGAAAATATTTTGCAAATTGATTCTCTCTTCAAACACGTTGCTCAACCGAGTTGGAAGACATGAACGACAAGCAAAATGCGGCAGAGATATAAAACGTACCGAACGGCTGAGTTTGTGATTTCTGATTGTAGGAAATTAACTGCGTGTCTGGCACGAAATCTGTAAGATAATATTGCCTTCTCTAGACATTCATGACTGATGAGATGAGGTGCCTGAGATGAATTTATGCCAAGTATAACATCTCGAGGAATATCGCTTGCTCGGATTTGAAACACCCATTCGCGTGAACATGCAAACGTAATATTGCGCTGATCACAAAGATTAAAATTGATTTTAACCCCCGGCGTGACAGGATGAGGAATCGATTTACTACACGTTTCAATGTGATAAATATTCCTCGCTAAATCGTAACGCGTTAGAAATTCGTGAACAATGTTGCTAGTAGAAGAAAAGGTGGTAATGAGATTCAAAATGTTCACGTTGAAGATACCGGGGGTTAATTAAGAAATACGTAAAAGTGCTCAAGAATTTGCGTCGCAGTCAAACGTGATAATGAGTCTCAATAACAAAGAGTACACATCTATCCGTGGCAACACTTGAAGTGTGTCAAACCTTTGGATCGCCGGTACAGCTGCTGGTACAGCAAACTTTTCTCTTTGCCGAAGGGCGTTTCAGCTCCGGATGACGTTTCGACGACGTCATTCAATCTACCGTTAGCGTCGCCTTTAAAGTACACGAGAGGCCGATTGAGCAGAGGGGAGGATCACTACCTTGTTTCGGCGCGTTCTCGTTGCTGGCATAGACCTTTTCCGCTGTGTATCTGTATCCCGAATCCGCGTCCGTGTCCATTGTATAATCCAACGGTTCATGCTTGACCGGTTGCAACTGACTCATGTCAGACGTGCAATCCAACGGCTGCTCTTCCACACCGCTTGACCCATCCGCACTTCCGCATCTCTCGCCGCTGAACGTCGTCTGTATTTCCGGGCCATAATCACCTTCTGTATAACCTTGCCAATGACAAGCGTCAGTTGCATTTGATGTTTGTACCATAAGTGGCCTTTCTGTTGAAGTACTTTCCGTCGAAGTGCTCTGCCTCGTTGTCGATTGCTCTTTCACGATGTGCGTTAACCTGCCGAAAGTGGAAACGCTTTCGTCCGTACCGACAGGATCGCATTTGTCTTTATCTACTTCATAGAAACCACGATCTTCAAAGTCCTCGTCATTTCTTCTAAGAGTTTCCTTGAATTTCTGCAATGTAGCAATCAGTTTAGCGCACGCTCTAAATTTATTTTTTTTATAAAGAATTTATACAGACTGCCTTGAAAAGAATAACTTTTATTACATTCTGCACATTTTTATAATATCGAGAATCTTTTTTGTTAATATTTAATAATTTTGACATATTTTGATATATAACGAACCTTATCTGATTCCGTAGTCAGTCCTTTTATCTGTAGAGCTTCTGCAACTTTTAGAAAACTGGCAATATCCTCCTGCTTAATATTGACTTCGCCTTGATACATAAAATGCAGCATCGCAGACAAATCTCGATAATTGACATCTTTCAGTATAACAATAGGATGTTTGCAGGAGTTTCCCTATGTTCACAAAAAGAAAATCAATAGGGATTTTGATAAGATGACAAAAGCATTTGCAATTGTCACTCTCATTGTCAGATTATTACCTTGAAAAGTTCTCGGAAATACGTGCTGCATACTGACAATATTAACTTGTGGGCTCGCAAGATTTGGCCCTCGGCGGCCAATGTAACATCCACTAAGTGTTCATCCGTTAGTAAAGTATATAAGCCTGAAGAAAGGTTACTCGGGAAACTGTTCCACACCAAGGAGAATTGTTCATCAGACATTGTTCCTATATGAAAGACATCTTATATATTCAATGCAAGACTGACATTATTATAGCTAAGCTATTCTAAATTATTTATAATTTAACTAATCTAAGTTAAATCTAGTTTAAGAATTTCAAATGCTGTATTAGATCGATTTATAGCGATTTTTGTCATTCTTATCACTGCTAATGAACAAGCAATATGCATACTAAACTATAGCATTTATATCATTTAAGAATATAACATGATAACATTATCTTTTGCGAATATAAAATATAATTCAATACGTTTGTTTCTTATAACTGAACCTATGTATTTTTCATCTTTTCTTTTTCTTCCATCTATCTAATCTAATTATGTACTTTCCTATTATAAGTGCAAAAAGTATAACATAATATAGCTGCAAAGAACAGACTTACATCCATTTTTAACAATATAAATTGCTTTTAATCTTAATTTAATCCCTTCTTTATTTTTTTCTCTTTTTTATTCATTTCTACCAAAGTTAACTTTAACTTTGATTTAACTTATCCTTCTCTTACCTTTTTTCTAATTTTTAAAATCAAAACGAGGAAAGAAGGTAAAGCGAGATTAAAAATAATTTACATACATAGAAATGGAATAGAAAAAAGGCTAAAAAAAAAAAGAGAGATATATCGAATATCAAGATTAAATTAGTGCACGAATGATGTCCGTTGTTACCAATGTAGATTAATTTTAATCTCAGGTTTAACTTACTCTTTATCTTTCCTTTAATTCTACGAATTGGAAAAAGATAATAAGTGAATTAAACCGAGATTATTGTCAATCTAAATCGATAGAAATAAATTTGCGTACTATTTACCTTTATTCACGATTCCGTGCTTGTAAAAACAGAGGAAACTATAATTTAATTAAAATCTCTCCAAGACGTCGAGGAAGAAACTCAAGAGTTCTCGACGCCACTCTCGACGTGCTGTTCCTTTCGTTCGTCTGTCGTGAAAACAAAGCAGCACTCTTAACGAGAAACTCGGGAAACGGTCGGTCGCTTCAGTAACCGTTCTCTTCTCGTCCTCTTCGAGGAGACTCCGTGAAGGCTATTAAGTGCAACAAGACACAGCGCGATCCGTCAACGGCACAGTCTAGACGCGCGGACGTCTGAGTCACGTCGATCAGCTTCGACACGCGAATTACAAAAGCGGTGCGCCATAAATCATGCGATCTCCGTCGCGCCCCGTGATGGCGACGCGCGCAATCTCGCGCAATGGCGTCGCGAGCGTCAACAGTGCGGTCGAGTGCTGCGAGCGCAATATGACATTTATATGTCATATTATATATACATACATGTATATATAATTTGTTAATATAATGTAATTGTGTGAGTGCGTGTGTGCGTGTGTGTATATATGTGTGTATAAATTATATTTATGCTATGAGTCGTAATAGAAATCAACAGACTCGCTACATCGATGTGCCTTTTAGCAAAACAAGATATAAATAACAAAGGATTACTGTCTATTATTGCGCAAGAATATCTCTACTCGAGCATCGAATTATGAGCATTCCCATTCCTTAAGCCTTCAGATTCAGACTGGATTTGTTGTGTCTCTATTTTTCTACGATTCTGTTTTCCATTTTTTTTCTTTCAGGCGGAATACAGTAAAGTTCTCAGGAAGAGACGATCTCGTGAATTACAGATTCATCTTATGGGTTGTTCTATTCAATTGTAACTCGGGTCATATTAACGTCACGACTGTCAGGGGCGAGGCGGAAGCATTTCCAGAGGCCGTACCGAGCCTCCCAGTCGGCAAAGAACAACTCTGGCTTGTTCCAGAGAACATGGTGCACTGCGAAGTTGTATTGAGACTGGATGGGAGGATTCAGATGTGGTGCCCATTGCGCTCTTTCCATCACGATTCTGTTTACATAACTGTAGAATACTTTTGCCTTGTGTATCCAGCATATGAGGGACATAACAGAGATGACAGTGGCATGTATATGACAAGTTACCTCTATGCTGTTGTTCTGCCACTGTAAGGCAATCTCCTGTAGATTCATAACGAGGCAGACTAGAGCAGCAGCCGTGAAGCCACATGGTACTTCAATGGCGATCAGACAAAGTGTACAGTATGTTGTTTCGAGATTCATCCGTGAGTCTGCATGATCCACTAGACTCCTTAGCAAACTATCGTGCAGCACCTCACGGTGCAGCTTGAAAAACAGTCGATCCTCTCTACGGCATTGCGGTACGCGCATAGCAAGACGCGCGTGCTCGAAAAAGATCTTGGGTGTATCAAAGATCGCTCGGTTGTCCTTGCGATCTATTAGGTATTGCAGCACTCGGTTACCCAGTAGGCTGATCAGTCGATTGGATGAGCCTATCATTCGCATCAGCAGTGGAAAAATCATCGGCGTGAGAGTCTGCTCATAGAGGTCTGCCTGGTGCATATAAGCGGCGTATTCTAGGGTGCTACCGAATTCCAGAACAAATTCATCAGTAGCATCCGCAGCTGCCATCCACGAGCACATATGATACACAACCACCAGCAGCTGATTGTTTGACAGATGTTTCATAATATTCCTCAGACAAATCTCCAGGCCGTTCTTGAGGCTCGCAAGCGGTGACGATGACGGTGGCGACGGCGATGGCGTCACAGAGAGATCGGTGACGGAGGGTGATTCGGATATCATCGTCAGTCGTGCAATTATACTGGCATGGAAGAGGCTCAGCATCTTTTCCACTATCAGCACGGTGTCTAGTGTTGCTGGCCATACGTATACATTTAGAAGCTCATATAATATCCTAATGATGCCGCGAGCATCCTCGATGCCGATCTCAGGCAACGTCAACTTATTCCAAACTGCGTGAACAATCAGTCCGGCACTGTCCGGGCTAATGTCGAGCAGATCGCGCATCACATCAAAGCAGAAAGTCTCGAACTTCCAGAGCTGATCGTGGTAGATGGCCTCCACGAGTGTCTCCACAATCTCCCGCACTTTTTCCGGCAAATAGATCTTTAATAGAGCGTGATAACAGTTCCGTGCGTTCCTGAACTTTCGTCGACGCTTCCAGTTACACAGTCCATTCATGTGCAGCATTTTCTCATAATATAACAGAATCCTTAATATGCTTGTGACAAGCATATGTGGGTGCCGGGATTGCAGTTGTTTTTTCGACGCATCTTTAACGATCTTTGTTATTTTATCCAAAGTTTTATCTTGCTGAATTTGGGACTGCAACTGTACTGGGATCGAAAAGCTCTCGAAGATATCGTCCATTTTTCGCGTGAACTCTGCGTCGGTCATCATTTGTAGAATTTGTAGAATTTATAAAAAAAAGGCTATAGCTTTAAAGAAAATGTGATAGAAGCCAGAGGATCTAAAAAAATGAAATTTGAATGTTTAAACAATAAAAATATGAGAATAATAATGTGAATAAAATATGTAGAAAAGAATGAAATTTCGAAAAATATACACATAAGATGATCAAACCTAAATATTTTAGATTTGTTAAAATCTTCAACTTTCAATTTTTCGGATTATAAAATAAAATAAATAAAAACATAAAATTGCAGTTTTCATTGCGTTGAAAAGTTCACGTTATATTATTCATAATCACTAGTTAATTTTGTAGACAAAAGCGAACGCTATAACTAAAAAGTGAGTTTGTCATATTTTTCCCCTTTTTCTTTTCACAGATGTATTACTTCTAAGATAGCAAGATTATAAAGATCTATATAACACAAGTAATAACAATGTATTGCTTAAAATAAACCTATTTACATAAGTATAATGTAGTAGCATATTTAGCACGCTTTAATTAACGCGCTCTAAGAGATAGAAAAAAAACATTTTATTCTATATTTACAAGACCTATACATATATGCACATAATAGTCCTAAATTACTCTTACAACATGGACTTAACAATTTGTCAATTCTTAATTGTATATAACCTATTCTTAAATATATTAAATATACATTTCTCTCACGTTACTTTAACAAAGTAACAAAATTTCGCGTTTAAAACCACAAGTCGCCGCCGACATCCTCATCTGGTGGTGGTAGTTGTTGTTGCTGTTGATTTTGCTGTGCTTCCTGCTTGGCTGCGGCATTCTCAGCGTCATCGTCGCTCTCAGAAACAGCCAGATCATCTTGAATCTTATTCTCGCCTTTATCATCTTTGGCCGGTAAACCGGCCAATAGGAAATCCGATGGATCATAATTTGGATCGACATCCATGCTCTCATCTGCGAGCAGAAAATCGAAGTTTACGGGATTCATACAGAGCGAAAAAGTACAATTGCATTATCAATCGAGGAATCAAGTATGATTTAAAACAACGAAAAGTTGTTTTATCTTGGAATTTTATCATATTTTCCCAAACTTCGCTTGCCATGATTAAAAATATTAATAGATTTTCTTGAACCATTTATATTTATATAAAATTTCTAACTTGTTCAAAGGGTTAGATTACAAAGAGGTAAAAAAATCCGCTTACCTTGATGAAGCAATTGTTGTTCGCCCATATAAAAGCCAACGTTGCCCAACTGGACCATTGCCTCGGCAGCTTGTTGGCTGTCATCATCCGCTAATACGACGCCTTCTTCTCTGACTTCATCTAACTCCAGAGCCTCCGCTTCGTTTTGCTCGGAATGTTCGTCTGTACCGAACGGTACTTCATCGAATTCATCCTCACTGGAGAACTGAAGATCTGTGGCAGAAAAAAAGATTGTTAGGCGAAAGATCCGATGAATACAAAGTGAATTCGGATCACATAGATTTACCTTCTTCAAGCACATCTTTCTTTTTCGAACTCCTATCAATGTCTGTTTCCATATCACCTTCTACATCGACAAAATCGAAATCGTCCATATTTGATTTGCCAAATGGATTCTCCGGTGAACTGGTCTGACTCTGAAGATAAATTTCAAATTTCAGTGAAACATATGGGAAATCAAAAACATTAAGCATTAATTGAACATTAATTGAAAAAGTTAAAATTGAACAAAAAAAAGAATAAAATGTGAATTATAAACAAATGTATATACTAATATATACAAATGTATATACAAATGTATATAAACGTAAAGATAAAAATAATCATTACCCCTCTGAATTCAGGTTCCGCGATAGTATAATTTTCCTCATCCGGGCAAAGCCATGAAGAATCTATATCTGCTTGCTCCATCGCTCGTTTCTGTACGAGCAGTATATTGTTCTCCAATTGCGTTAGATGTTCGTCGTACTAAACAAAATAGATTCATTATTGTTATTTTGTTCTAATGATTCCTGAGGTCTTAATGATTTCTATATCTTATGAACATGAAAATATTTGCATACACCTACTTCGTCTAATGTTTCTTTACACACTTTAACCAGCAACTCTGCTTTATTTGTGAGTGAAGAATCTTTGCCATTATAAAGTATACTGTTCTCCAAGATCTGTTCGATATCTCTAAGAAACTCATTACGATTATGATATTTATGCGCTGGAAAAGTTTTAAAAATCGAATTGTTTTCAAAAAAATTATTAAAAGCATTTAAAAATCTTTTAACATTAAAGTTCCTTACCAGATACTTTTTTAGATATCGTTTCCAGATCCATCGGCCTTTTAACAATGTTATAATAATCTTTCACCATTTTTTTATTGACAGGCTTCATAAATGCCCAAACTTCGGTCATGGATTTCAATTTATTGTTAACAACATTATCTAAGATAAAGGTGAGAGCGACCTGATCATTATCATCCAAAAGAGGATTGATCGCCTTCTCCAGCCTCATTAGGCGATCTTCTTTTTCGCCGAGCCTCTCGACACACGTATCTAGCATTCTCTTAGCGGCCACTGTCAAGGAACTCTTTGCTCCGTTATAGAGCGTCGAGTTTTCTACAATCTGATTAACATCCGCCAGGAACTCCTCTCTGCTTTGATATTTTTTCAGTCTCAAGTTTTCGCGTATAGTTTGCAGATCCATCGGTCGCTGTATAATCTTGTGATAATCGGGTACGATCTAATAAAATAATAACATAATTTTCATTCGATTCATAATGTACAGTTTTCTCAAGTCTATCTTATAAGTTAAAATAACATTTACTTTAGCATTGACCGGGAATAAGAACGGTTGCACATCCGGTAGATCTCTCATCTCGTTCAGAATGCTCTCTAACATCGTCGACATCACGACAACCGGGTCGGTCCTACGCCTGTTAACCGGTCTTTGGTGGCGTTTCAAATAATCACAATGGTCATCCGTGGGTGGTTTTCTACGTTTCTTCGAATTCACTGCTTCCTTCGGCACTTTGAGCAGCAGCGTACGCCTCTTCATTTCTTCGGCATGCTGAAATAAAAGCCAGAATACATCGTAGTAATTCTGTAGGTTTTCTCGGATTCCGTATGATAATGAAATATAAATAAAAAAGCTTGACATAAATTTATAAAACTGACTCACTTTGATCAGTTTTGAGGACAGCTTCACCTTGGTACCATCGACATTTACTAAATCCTGATCATCGGTGTTCAATTGTTTCTCGATCTCCTCCTCCTGCTCCTCGGTCATCGCAACATTAACCGGTGCGGTGGCGATGCTGTTCTGGTAGAGCGGACAAGCCTTGTTGGTGCGCATGTGGCCAACGTTGCCACAAGCGCCGCATTTAAGTTTGAGATCTGGTTTGAGTTTAGGTTTTTTACGTTTGGGAGGTGATACCTCTGGTTTAGGATGCTTAGGCGCGGGGGCGGAAGAAGAAGAGGATTGGAAATTACAGAATGGAAGGATACTAGTTGAGGAAGTGGTGATCGGAGTATTAGTATTACTACGATCAAATATGTTGTTATTCGAACTGTTGATGCTGCTGCCATTCACTATCGGCGGCCCGCCCAGCATACGTTCTCTCTCCTGATTTCGCTTAATCCGTCGCAGTTGCTCCTGAATTCTACGTTTCTCCCGCTTCATCTCTTCCTTCTGCGCTTCGTCCAACGTGGCAAACTGTTTAATAAATGTCTCGTCCTTTGAATTACGAATCTTGATGTACGTGTCGATCACGGCGGGCTTTCTCACCAACTCGACTCGCGTATACTCTTTACCCTCCGGATTTCGGAACGTGCGGTAGATCTTTAATACACGACCCTGCTGCGCGTTGAAATTGTTAACCGAATTGTCCTCTTCCTCGTCCTTTTTCTTGTTTTCCTTGCCTTTTTTGCTCTCCTGCTCCTGCGCCTCGCCCATTAACATTTTTCGCAGCTCATGCCGCTGTTGCTCTTCCCGCTCCAGCGACAATTGCGTACTAGTCTTTTTGTTCGACAACATATTTTCGATGTTCTTACCCATCTCCTCAATGTCCGAACTGTCCTCCTCCGAGCTCTCTCCCTCGTCTGTACTCAGTACTTCGTTTGACGATAGCACACGATTTTGCAAGTCGAAAATACGTTGGCACTCCTCCTTGTAACGTTCTTGATGTTCGGCGATAGAAAAACGATTGCCACGGGAAAATTTCGTCATGCCTTCTTCGCCGGCTTTCGCTTTCTCCGTCGATAGGGTTCGTACCACGTCAATTACTTCCCAACGTGATAATTTTTTAATTTCTTCCTCGGGTACGCCAAACTTTCGCAATAACGCTTTAGCATTGTTCAAAGACAATCTCCTTAAGTCCGCATCTGTACCGGTCACAGTCCTTTTCGGTTGAGCTTCTTGCTCCTCCTATCCAAAACAAAATTTTATGTTTTATCTTAATTTAAATTATAATATTCTTTATTAATTTCTATCAGAGCGAACCTTGCTAATAGTCGGTTTATTCGGTACTCTGACATAGGAGAAACCTTCACCACAGCCAGTTGGATCAGCTGGACCAGCCAATTGCAACAGGCACTTTCCTTTCATGGCTTGAATATAAGCTCGTGTTGTATTCCATGGTGCCACTTTCACCTCGTCGTCCATCTTCAGTTGCATATCTTCGTCGTCATCGTCCTGAGGAGTAAACAGAAATTTCTCACCATAGCCAGCGTCCTTCAGACGCTGTTCTGCTGCGATCATGCTGAAATAAGCGCAACATTGTTCCGGTGATACCATGGCACGAATCTCCTCTTCCGTCGGCAATCTAAAGTCGGGCTTTATCACCCACCAATTAGAATCCATACCTATTTGATATAAAAAAATTCTTATATGAGTGACTTATATGAATTCACATAGATTTTATAGATTAACTTAAAAATATAACGACAATGGCTGAATTCCATAAAGCGCATATGCGCGCATTTTATTATAGTATATGTGACATGAACTATAGATAAATGTACGTATATGCGCTTTACGGAATCCAGCTAATGACATTCCTCTTTATAAAATTCTTACTTTGTTTTCTCCCAAAAGAGAGTTTAAGTTTTCTAGAAGAACTTGATAACGGGTACGCACCAGTTCTCTTAAAATCCGCACATAATTTCAATCTCTTTCTAATGCTGCTTTCACTATGGGATGGAAAAGCCTTTTTTATATCGTCCATTTTAATGCGACGAGGTGTATCGCGCGATTTCCAAAACAGCCTGTATATAAAAACTTGTAGAAAATCACGTACGAAGTTATTGGCTCTCTTTGAATTAGGTCCAGGAACTTCGTAAAGCGGACATTCCTGTCCGGCGACAAACAAAGCGTCCATTTCTCTAATATAATATTGTTGCCTGTAAAGATTATAAAATAGTGTGAAAACAGAAAAAAATATACAAAATTATATGTAAAATCGCGCGAGCAATAAAGTTAAAAGTGAAAGATGTAAACATGATTAGATATTACGATACCTTGTTCTTATGACCAAGAAATCAGTCTCGGGAATTTTATGCTCATAAATGGGCGCTCTGTACATATTGTTCTCGATCGCCTGAATGCTTTGGCCAGGAGTGAGAATTCCCAGGAAAGGACTTGTGTGAGCATACGCCGTCTCTCCGTATCTATATGTTTGAGGTCCTTGATCCTTGCCTGCCCTTCTCTTATAATAGTTCTTTACTTTGGAACACATACCAACTTGATTCATAAGTGGTGGATGCTCCTCTGAGAATTCAACTAGTACCAACTCGCCGTCTCGTCCGGTCAAGTCCTCAGGTGTTCTCATGAAAAACACATCACCTCCACCAGAAGCAATTCTTTCTTGTTCTCGTTGTTTCGCCTTCTTCTTGATGTGCTTCAGCAGAGGCAAGACACCGTGTGGTCCCGGATGAGACAATGGACCATGACTAAATCTTCGCAACGGTGGTCTATGAAAGTTTCTCAAGCGCATTGGACCCATATGTGTTTGTACAAAAGGCACGCGTAACTCCACGACCGGAGTGCTGTGCTGTATTAAATTGCCGCCACCGACTTTCAGTCTCAACGTGGTTTCCGAGGACTTAGGCATATAATATGTGTCGTTTGATATGTTAAACGGATCCCGATCGGGTGATTTCGGCGGTGGTGGCGGAGTGTCTTCCTCGAGAACGTTAATGACACCTGCTTTACCCAACAGTAACTTGCTCTTTTTGACGTGCGGATGCGGAATTTTTACCTTAGGCTGCGGACCGTTGTCCTTATGGAGAAGAGCGGGATCGATGTCATCCGGTATGCCCAGGACTATGTTTTCATCATTCGGATCCAATGTAAGTATTTTCGGTTTTGGGATCTTTTTCATGTTCTCGGGATCCCAGATTACTTCCTCTTCCCATAAGCCGTAAACAAGTTCCTCGTTCTCTACCGGAAATATCGAATACCAAGTGTCGTCCTCCTCCCGTTGTTGTTGCTGGTTTCCCTTGCCCATGTTCATCTTATTCTTTTGAGATTGCATGTGCAATGGCGTTGTAATTTGCGATGTGGCTAGTCTGACATTAGGTGCTACAGTAACCGGGGCACCCTTCCCGGGCTGACTGAAGGCTTGAGCAGTTCTGTTGCCGCTTGATGGTACCCAGCCGGCAGCATTATTTTTACTGTTCAGTTTCTGTGTTACCTGTAAGAAAAGAAACAAATGTCACTTCTCGCAAGAACGCAGCAACAATACTGACTACTTTATAATAAAATTATACTTTATGCTTTATATCGTCTCCGTTCCAGACAACGTCATCCTCCCAATGTAACTGAGACACCATCAAGAATGCGTCATCCGCAGATTCTTCGTCTTTAATCTCTTTTCGTTTTCTTGTTCTTCCGCCTAATTGCGCAAGAAAATGTGAATATTTAAAGATAATGATTCAATTTTATCCAGTATACACAATAATTACGCACTTTTTCAATTATTTTAAAACCATAGTTGAATCCATCTCCAGTTTCTGGAACTTCCAGCATGTCGTACCATAGCTGCGCAGGTCCGAATCTCCAATCAGCCACTTTGGGTCCCATGTCACCGTTTTCCCCATTCTCGCCAGTCTTACCAGTCTGTTCTTTGTCTTCTATTGGTCGCAGCAGTTTATTCTCATCATCCGAACGACACGCCTCCGCGCTTGGTTCAGGGCCATAATGCATGATCCATCCCTAAAATAAACGACATATTACAATCTTCAAAACCAATAAAAATTACAATTGGTAATTTGAATCAAAAAAAGATCTATCACAAAAAGAAATTACCTTAAATTTAGATTTTTTGTCATCTTGATCAGAGCCAGAATCGGAATCTCTAACATCATGATGTTTTTTCTTCTTACGTCGCTTTCTAACACCTCTCCATATCTGTGGAAGACTGCTTGGTTTACCTGGACCGAACAGCCGTGAGAACCTAAGCACTTTGTTGGCACGGAAGTCCGGAAACAGTTCAGTGACGTCAATATTAGCATACTTGGATGGCAGCATTGAAGCAAGGGGTGTTTCTAATTTACGTTGACGTGCTGCTTCCACTTCTTCCGCCGTCAATGTTTCTTTCTCCTCTGGTATTGGCGGCGGTGGCATCAGCTGTGTGTCAGACTTATTGACAACCTCCTCATCGTCAGCATCATAATCTGCATTCTCTTTGTCTACTTTTTTGTCAAGTACATTATTCTTGGCTGAAAATGAATTACTATATTAACTTATAATTCCATATATTTATCATAATTATATTTATAAATAAAAAATGATACATATTTTAATATCTATTAATAATCATTAATTAATCCTTTCACTATCAAGAACGAGAGATCTCGTCCGTGGCATATCTACGACATCGTAGAACTGAGATAGCTCATCCTTGGTAGTAAAAGAGTTAACCAATACTTATTTATATAAATAACTATGTAAATCAATAAAAATACTAACAAATTTCATCATTTATATCGTCCGCCAATTCATTTATATCCGAGAAGTCTAGAGCAGTAGGTGATTTCGCTAAGTAATCTACATCTGTGTCATTCATAATTCCACTCTGATCCTCTTTATCATCTGCTTTGCTGTTCTCTATTTCCTCTGTGTTACCATCGTTGGACATCATTTCATTAATGAACGAGCTCAAACCGAGGCGACCTAGCGAAGCTAGATGTTGCTTGGCATCGGCATCTAAGATATCGTCCTCCAACTGACCATTGTCATCGATGTTGCCGAAGAGGAAGCCGGTGATGTTGAGACCAGACGCTAGATCTTTCTCATTTTCCTCATCGGAATCTCCCATCTTTCTCACGTTAAAATTTACCGATTAATTCGATCTTCGTAATGTAAATGTCCGTGTAAAAATGTTTCTCACCGTGCGTACGATAGTTCTGTAAATTAATCACAAATTAATATGCAATAACACCTTTTTTTATTTTTAATCACAATTTGCGGTAAGATATAGACTTTACCACTTACGAATCATGTACGGCACTAACGAATTACATATGAAATCCGATCTAGCATTTTGTTTATGTAAGTAGCCTTGCGACGACAAACCACTCACGAAAGAAATGGAAATGAACTAATAACCAAAAACACGACCTCGGCGAATTTATCTGGAGCTTCGATTGTATAAATACTAGATATGTAGAGTGAATCGAATTTCTATTCCCCACAATTATGAAGGATTCAACAGCACATCGCTGATTGATCAATTGAATATGAAATTTTCTAATTGGTGATGACTGAAAAATTTCTAAGCACCAATCGATATGGGGAGCGTCCTGTTTGACCACGTTGCAATTGGACATAACTACTTATAGCGACAAATGCCTGGAGATTTTCCACTGGATCGACCAATCAAAAAATTTTATTTTAAATTGACCCATTGGCAATGTGGGCAATCGAGTGCTATCTCCGATATGAGTGATTGTGTGGGGTGATACCCGACCACAGGGGCCAACGTCTAGAATTTTTCCACTGTTCAAGCGCTGTGAGTGGTCAATCGGGACGTGGTCAAACGGGTGTCACCCGATTGTGTGCTATCAGAATGTATGGAAATTCCTCTGTGACTCTGTGTTGGAATTATATAAGATATTTGTACATTTCTGATGATAAAATAAGTAATTAAATAAAATGTTTTATCATTATTTATCTTCAAAACAGCCAAAATGATCGATGTTATAATGACTGTATTCAGTGAACACAATGGTTGTTCATACAATAGTTGAATAATTCGTCAACGTAATTAGCCTAAATTTAAGGATCTGACAATAAAGACCAATAATCATTGTTCACAAATTGCCTCGTTCCACTGAATACAGCCAATGTCAACGCTATTCAATTTTTATCAGAAACACACTTACTTAATGAGCTTTTGCATCTGATTGGTTCATTTTGTTAGATTTGAAAGAATACACCAATCGGATACAAGAGTTCACTAAGTACTTGAGCGATTGTGCTTTTGGAATCATCAATCATAGATGCTTTAGAGGATATTAAAATAACAAGTAAATTCCGCGAAAATACTATGTAACAGATTCGTACATACGTGTGTGTGTGTGTGTGTGTGTGTGTGTGTATGACATGTATGTATCTTTTTATGTATTTCTTGTATATCACAAAGTTCGTAAATTAAATATTTTTTGAGAAGTTAATATTTTATATCAAGAGACATATTTTATTTAATTGCATCGAAATTTACTACTTTCATATCCAGAATATGACGCTTAATTAAATTGTATTTTTGCAAATATTTTAAATACATATATTTTACATTCATGTAAAGCTTATATTTAGCGAATATAATTAATAGATTATTATATTTTACATTAATGATATTTAAATCTTGGCAAAAATATGTATTACATATTTTATGTTACTTAAAGAAAAATATTTCATATTGATTCTTTTATCAGTAAAACATGCGGTGCGGCGTGTTTCTATTAGAAACAAAGCAGCTTATCAGAAGATGGAAGGTTTCTTTTAAAAAAGATAACACAATTTATTCTCGCTCATGTACAAAGTAACGTGGGCCACGTAGAAATTATAGTTACTGATAGCACGGGTACAAAATTCGAGTTTGTGAAGTCAGAATCTCGAAAATGGAGTCATTTGCTACTCACGTAGTAATAAAAATGTACACACCGTTTTCCTATACATCTTTTACAAATATAGAAAGAAGATATCATGAGAATATATCAAGTTGAATTGTTACAATGTTAAATTTGTGTGAAAATTCATGTACAAGGGGAATCTCGAGATTTTTAGAGGATCTTGACGACGAGGGGATGCAACGGGTGTTCCTTTACATAACTTGTGTTTCACTTCTTTCTTTCTCTCTTTCTCTCGTTTTCATCTATCCTTTGACAATAACGAAACATTTTCACGCCAACCGTGTGTACGATTGTATTCGAATGTCTTAAAACTTATAATAAACGGCCATTACGACAAACGAGGATTTCAAGCAATGGCATAATGCATGTGTACTTTAATATCAAAGAATAAATATATATATATAATTTAAAATAGTAGTTATACTGTCGACAGACAGAAAACAAACAAATAAAATCAACAAAATTAAATTATCTCTCTTAAATTAAATGTAAATTAAGTCTGTACATATAAATGAATCTTGGGCATTATGTAATAGATTGAAATCCTCGATCATGAAGAGCAGAATAGATTTAAAAAAAAAGAAAAATAAATGATGCTTTCTGTTAATAATAAACACTGCTGGAACGGTAATTTTCATTTAGTCCACTTGTAAATACAATCAATCTCAACACGAAAAACCACCTGTCTGCTGTTGGTACACCTCTATTGTATCTCCTTCTTCCATTTCCAATGTAGTAGGTGTGTCTAATTCATTTATGGGTTGTCCATCAAACCTAAATCTTACTGCTGCTATCGCCAAACCCTATAAAACAATATTAATCATAACGATATCAGTTAACAATAATCTACAGGTTGTTGATTCCTTTCATATAGTAAACCGTTAAGTTTCAACAAATGTTAAATCTGTATCCATGTAATATTGAAAAGATAAATAAAAAAAATTTCACAATTATACAATTTGAAACAGCATATTGTAAAAAAAGTGCTATGTAATATAATGGAAATCCTCAATAAACAAAATTATTGATATAATCATGATTTTACGGTGATATCAGGTAGACACTCACCACACGATCGCAGTATGCATTCATCAATTTGCGAAGGGGTGTGTGCTTTTTAATTTTAAACTGAACTACCGCGTTGTCCTGGCCCAACACCTTCAGATTTATGTGCTCCGATTCTGTTTTCGTTTCCTGCACGAACAAAGAATAATTGAGTCGCGCGGGAGGACGCCGCGACACGGTAAGTAAATAATCCCTGACGCGCGTCAGGTTAGGTCGCGAAGCGTTACCTTATTCTCGTCCGACATAGTGCCGTGGCTCTATAAGATTAATCGCGTTCACTAGAAATTATCGGGCGATTGCGTGATCGGTGATAAGATTCGATCCGTACGTCCGTGTAATTGATTACGACGCGGATGATTCCTCAAGTGTAAACTCAATGCAAAATCCTGCTCAGTCCCGCTTCTTCTCCTCAAAACGGCGGCCACAACGTCGCCATCTTGCACGAATAACATGCAATACAGACACTCGTCGCAAACGTGAATTCTGGGATAGCAATCATGAAATTTTTCTCCCAAAGAGTGAAAAAGGACTTTGCACATTTCTTATGAATTTTTGCTTCTCGATCAAATCTTCTCTTTTTTTTTTGAGAAATTGTAGTACCTGATGTTCTGATTAAAAATATCAATGAGCGCAATCTTCTAAATTAACAATTTTTGAGAAATAACTGATCAAACTTGTCTAATTTTCATTATTTCGGACATTGGACGGTATTATCCGGTCTACAATAGGTGATTTAAGTTTTAAGCTATAAGAAAAATTGACCAATCATAGTCGAATATTCTTCTATTTTTTGACTATGATTCGTCCATTTCTTATGGCTTAAGGCTTAAATCAGCTATTGTAGATCGGGACTTAAACAATTTCTGTTTCTCGGTCCAACATGATCCTACAGACTTTAAAAAAATACGTAAATGAACCTTATAACAGGCGAAATAAGGCATTTATTTTCACTTTGACAAATTGTAGCAAAGGGGAATTATAGAATATTTGATATTCGAAGAGAATATTTGATCACGTGATCTAAAGCTGCGTCTTGATTGGTTTTCAAAGTGAACTAACACAAGACCACTCAAGAAGAATAGCATGGATTTATCACAAAAATCCAGTAAATCATATTAAATTCAGATTAAAATCAATTCACATTGGCTGCTTTTAGCAGAGAAAGCAGCTTTAAACTATTGTAAAAATCTTTAATATGATTGGTTTTTGCTCTTAGTTCCTCTAAATGTATAAACCAATCAAATTGAAGAATCTTACATACTTGCAAAGCTGCTTTCTCTGTTGTACGCAGTCATTGACGATTTTTAATAGTATATCAAATAATTATTTTGCCGACAGTGGCTACGTAGTTCCAAATCGTATTGAAATGATTGAGACGCTGGCGGTATTAGAATTATAGGTTATGTGCTGATAAATAGAACAATTTATCAGTGTCTGTCAGTTGTTCTGAGAAAAGTATGTAGGAAAACAGAAAATTATTTTATAATCGATTCTTCCAGAGACGAACGATATAACATGTATTAATTAGAAATTTTCTTGAATGTTAAGAATATTATGTAGCTAGAAAGATGAGCGGTGAAAGTCAGATTACGAGTATCGTAAATGACATTCTGGTAAATATCAAAAGATTTTAAGTTATTAAACATGACTCACGTATTTTTTCTATATTCACAATTTTTCACGAATTTTAATTTCGAGATGCAGGAGAAATATCCACTTTTTATACTTACATTTGTATATTTCAGAAAGTAGAAGCGATAGAGGAAGCCTTCAGTTGTGTTCTTGTTCATAATCCTAAAAAAGAAAGTGAAAAAGTAACGGCATGGTATCACGAGCTAAGAACAGCTGTGACTGGATTGACGAAAGAGCAACAAGAAGCTGCAGTTCGACAATTTCTATCAATGGCAGCAGCTATGACAAATCACAGACGGTTACAATTGCTGCTGTCATTACTGGAGAAATTGGTTCATTCAAATTATTTACCTGCTAGGTAAACTTTCAGATAAATGAATGTTTATCCTTGTTTAAGTTGCTGTCAACTTTTTTTATAGTATTATTTTCTACAAATTTTTTTTTTATAGATTAGTATGCGAATGTATTCTGAGCTGCGACAAATTGCAGTATCAGTTGGAAGATTTTTGGATCGAGTGCTTTGTTCTCATTCGACATATCATTGGTGGAGTTGACTATAAAGGAGTTAGAGATATTATGAAAGTAAGTTTTCATAAATACTTGTAATTATTTATTTTATATTTTTTAATAAAATTAAGATTAAAATTAATCTATATTGAGATGCATGCCTATTTTACCAATACACTTAGTCATTTAATAGAAACTACAGCCGATAAGATAAAAATTTAAAGAGATATTTATTTTGATATGTTTTCTATTTTATTAGGGATGCAAAGAAAAGGCTCAAACCATACCAGCTCGATTAGATGCATCAGTACAACCACAACTAAAAGCTTTGGAAAATGTTATCGAATATATTTTCGATAGAAATGCATGCTTATTGCCAGGTTATTTCATTGTCAACCAAATACAAAAGACTTATCCCGACAGCAAGAATTGGCCTCATTGGGTAAGTAATGTGAGAAATATAAAAAAATGGTGCAAAGAATTATTGCATTTTATGGTTTTGCAAGGAAGACATCTTTCCTTTGTCATTTAATTTTGTCTTTCGAAATACTTTTAGAAATTGGCAAAGCTGCTTTCAAATTTTGTTGAAAGTTTTCGAAATACCGCGCAAATGGTATCTATAGTAGGACATTCAAAGATGCTACCAGTAGTTGAACATACAGGATATGCAGATCATTTGATTAATCCTTGGTTACTGGATCCTAATACATTGAAATTTTCATTAAAAGGAAATCTACCCTATGATCCGGATTTACTTAAGCCTCAGACAGAATTGCTCAGATATGTACTGGAGCAGCCATATAGCAGAGACATGGTCTGTTCAATGCTTGGCTTGCAGAAACAGGTAAAACGAAATTAAAACGTTAATATGAAAATATATATATTAAATATGAAGATTAATAAAATATAAAAATTATTGAAAGAAATAAAAGTAAAGTTTTATAATTTAGAAATAAAATAAATATTTATGAACTCTTCTCTTTCTTTTGTATTTTTTTAAGTTATATGTTAGAAAAAAACATTAGATATATATTTGTAAATATATTTGTCTTTATGTAACAGCACAAACAACGATGCATTGTCTTGGAAGAACAGTTGGTGGAATTGGTTATTCTCGCGATGGAGCGATCTGAGAATGAATCTTTGCCAGCGGAAGGCATGGATGGAACAGTGGCCAATCATTGGGTGTGGTTGCATCTGTCTTCGCAACTTATTTATTTTATTCTCTTTCAATTCGCCTGTTTCCCGAGTATCGTTATGGCGATACATGATAAATTAGCCGGCAGAGAATTGAGGAAGGGTAGAGATCATCTGATGTGGGTTCTTTTACAATTTATCTCTGGCAGCATTCAGCGGAATCCGCTGTCGAATTTCTTACCCGTATTGAAATTGTATGATCTCCTCTATCCAGAGAAAGAACCTCTGCCTGTTCCGGATTATACTCAAGCACTATGCACACATCAGATGGCGATAACGTGCATATGGATACATCTACTTAAGAAAGCTCAGAACGAGCCCGGCACTAACATTCACCGACCGATACCGCATACGCTAAAAGTGCATCATGAGTTTTTACAACATCTAGTCATGCCGAATGCTTCTTTATGTATGGGTTCGGATTATCGCATTGCGCTCTTATGCAATGCGTACTCGACGAACCAGGAGTACTTCAGCAGACCGATGGCAGCGCTGGTGGATACCATCCTAGGTACGCAAAAGAATCAGCAACAGCAACCTCTGCAGACTCTGCAGAACAATGCGGCGCTAGCTAACGGCCCAACAACGCCGCTTTCAATGTCCATTCTAGATTCTTTAACCGTACACTCTAAGATGAGTCTTATTCACAGCATTGTCACGCACGTAATCAAATTGGCGCAGTCCAAGAGCAACATGGCATTGGCACCAGCACTAGTTGAAACTTATAGCAGATTACTTGTATACACGGAGATTGAGAGTCTCGGTATCAAAGGATTTATCAGTCAATTGTTGCCGACGGTATTTAAGTCACATGCCTGGGGAACGCTTTACACATTGCTGGAGATGTTCAGCTACAGAATGCATCATATCCAACCGCATTACAGAGTGCAGCTACTGTCGCATCTGCACAGTCTCGCGGCGGTGCCGCAAACCAATCAAACCCAGCTTCATTTGTGCGTCGAGAGCACTGCCCTGCGACTTATCACTGGACTGGGCTCGGCAGAGGTACAGCCGCAATTGTCTAGATTTCTGTCGGAACCGAAAACTCTCGTGTCTGCGGAATCGGAGGAACTTAACAGAGCGTTAGTGCTAACGTTGGCACGGTCCATGCATGTAACCGGCACCGGTGCCGAAAGTCTCAGCGGCACGTGGTGCAAGGAATTATTGAACACCATCATGCAAAACACACCGCATTCCTGGGCCAATCACACTCTCCAGTGCTTCCCGCCGGTGTTGAGCGAATTCTTCCAGCAGAACAGCGTGGCGAAGGAAAACAAGCAGCAGATCAAGAAAGCGGTTGAGGAAGAATACAGGAATTGGGCATCTATGAACAACGAGAATGACATCATCGCGCATTTCTCTGTACCCGGCACGCCGCCGTTGTTCCTGTGCCTTCTATGGAAGATGATACTGGAGACCGATCGCATCAGCCCTATCGCGTACAAAATTCTCGAAAGAATCGGTGCCCGAGCGCTGTCGGCACATCTTAGGAAATTTTGCGATTATCTAGTATTTGAATTCGCCAATAGCGTTGGCGGTCAGCACGTTAATAAATGCGTGGACACCATTAATGATATGATCTGGAAGTATAATATAGTGACTATCGACAGATTGGTGCTTTGTCTGGCATTGAGGACCCAAGAAGGCAACGAGGCTCAAGTATGCTTTTTCATCATACAGTTGTTGCTACTTAAAGCAGCAGAGTTCAGAAATCGTGTACAAGAATTTGTCAAAGAGAACTCGCCGGAACATTGGAAGCAATCAAACTGGCACGAGAAACATCTTGCGTTCCACAGGAAGTTCCCGGAGAAGTTTGCACCGGAGGGTATCATGGAGCAGACTAGCGGCGGGCCCAGTCAGTATCAAAGCTTGCCCGTGTATTTCGGGAACGTGTGCCTTCGCTTCTTACCGGTCTTCGACATCGTAGTGCACCGCTATCTGGAGATACCGCCTGTTATCAAGAGTTTAGAAATACTATTAGAACATTTGGGTTGTTTGTACAAATTTCATGGTATGCATTTAACAAAAATTTCATCAATTCCAACAAAAAGAAAGATTTTTTTTTATTATGCACGAAATTTAAAGATATTTAAATTATTTGAATTTGCTGTGGTATGTTGAAACACATCTTTTATTTATTTTATAAAAATAACTAGAGGGAATAAATTTCTTTCGAAAATGATTAAATCTCATTTGATTTAATTACAATTTTTCAATTTTCAGATCGACCCGTCACGTATCTTTACAATACTCTACATTACTATGAAAAGAAATTGCGAGATCGGCCGTTGTTGAAACGTCGATTGGTATCCGCCGTCTTGGGATCATTACGAGAAATCAGAGCGCCAGGATGGGCACTTTCCGAGGCTTATCAAATATATATGACACGTTTCAATGACGATGCAATTTCGTGGGTACCGGAATTGGAGTATTATATACGCCTTGTGCAAAGAATTGTAGAAAGTAAGGCAATTAAAACTGTAAAAAAAAAAGAATAACTTATTTATCATTATAATAATCGAGGGATATATTTGTTAAAGCAATGTCTGGTACGGCTCACTTTCCTGCTACCGATTGGAGATTCAACGAATTCCCAAATCCAGCGGCGCACGCATTATATGTGACCTGCGTTGAGCTTATGGCTCTTCCAGTCGCTCCAGATGTAGTAGCTAATTTTTTATTGGACGTTGTCGCTAAAGGGTATTGTTTTTTTTTTTTCTATTAAATTTGCGTAATTCAGTTTATAATGATTTCACTATTTCTTGAACAATATGATATATTAAATTTCTATGTAATCTTTTTTTATTATTTGTCTATTTAGGTACACTGTTGTGCCATCAGATGACATACATTTGTGGATAAATTGCGTTGGTTTACTACTGGCAGCATTACCAGAATGTTATTGGTCAGCGTTGCATAAACGTTTACTAGAAACTATCAGCAGCCCTGGCCTAATCAATTGGCAATATAATAACCTGACACCATTCCAAATGTTTAATTTTAATATTACACATAATAGCCTGTTAGAAAACAAATATAGTTACATGCTTGCATTGGCACATTCAGTGTGGCACCATGCGGGTGTAGGGCAGATTACAACAATGCCTCAGTAAGTGACGATCGTAAATATAATGATATTAAACTAAAAAAACATATAAAAGAAAATTTAAACAGAACGCAGATTTTTGCAACTAGTATAAAGATTTATATAGAGTTGTTATATTTGGTTATAAATTAATAATAAATTGTTCTTTAGATTTATCAAAGAAAAACTTCAGCCGGTGATAACCAGCGAAGAACAACTAATATATGCTTGCCATTTGATCGGTCCCACATTGGCGAGATTTAATGCAGAGCGGCCGCATTGCGTAGTTGAACTTGCAGTCTGTCTGTATGAGATGCTGGAACGAGTTGATCACGCTCAAACAACTTTGAATTATATGGATCCAATTTGCGATTTATTGTATCCTTTATTTATAATATCAAACCATACGAATTTGATATATCACGGAAACATTTATAAAAAAATATGTAAAAAAACCGATTTGAGAGATCAGATTCGTTTTCTGATATGATTATTGAAAAATTTTTATGATTAATTCTAACATAGTTTTGTATGCGTTTGTATTTTTCTTAATCATTACACGACAGATATCACATCAAGTACATGTTCGTCGGCGACATGATGAAAAATGAGGTAGAATGCATCATACGAAGGTTAAGACCCGCGTTGCAAATGAGGCTGCGTTTCATCGCTCACATAAACATTGAAGAAATCCATACGTCTTAAAAAAAAAGATTACTCTTACCATCGTAAGGACTAAAATCTATAATTAATTTTCTCAGAATGAATGGATGTCAATCGTTTTAGAGATATAAGAATTAATTTAAATAAACAAATTTTAATAAGTAAGAAGTATATTTACACGATTTTTTACTCTGTAAAAAATTATATCTCTTATATTTTGATACGCGATGCGTATCCGGATGTAAATAAAGTTTTAATATTTGACAATCCGCGCCGGCTTTCTTTTGTCTGATGAGTGCATGCACGTGTCGACGTTTTCCCATGTGCCTGTGTGCGTGTGCGAGATGGCGCTATTATCCAACGATATCTGTCAACACCTGTCATTGCCTGTCATTGGAAGTTAGTATTTGCGCCGCACCTTAACGATCCGCTGTACGTACAACCTACAGGATCACATTTGTCGGTGGAAGAGTCGTCGAGATGAGTTCCTTACATCTGGCAAATGGTAAGTAACGCGTTAATCAAAAAGATATCGTTTTACGAAGAGCGCATTAACCGCGCTTAGCCGGTGTTGTTTGAGCAAGGATTGTATGTCATCGAGCAAAACCAACGTCAAGAATCTTTTCAGAAGAAAAACTGACTTTCGTTTTTAGGTTCCGAAAAGCCAGCAGAAGTGGAGGGTCAGGCGCGTCTGTACAGCATGGAATATTGTCCCTTTGCTCACAGAATACGTCTCGTACTTAGCCTAAAGAATATTCCCCATGACATCGTCAATATCAACCTGCAAAGCAAGCCAGACTGGTTCCTTGAAGTATGCATTGAATCGGAAGAATTTGTACTAAATTTCTACCAAATATATTCTACCAATATTCATAAATTTCGGTTTAATTTATTCTTTATCTTTTTCTAATTTCTTAGAATTGAAAGAAGTATAAAAAGAGTAAGTTAGGTATATTAAAATTAATCAATCTAGATTGGTAGAAATAGACATTAATTATCTAAATTGAAAGTATTTTTAATTATTAAATGCTGAATCTTTCTATCTGTATGTATTGAATACTTTTTTAGATTCATCCAGATGGTAAGGTACCAGCTTTCATAGATTTAGATGGTACTCTAGTGACAGACTCTGTCGCAGTGGCGAACTATTTGGATGAAAAATATCCCGAACCATCTCTGTACAATGATGAGACAAAGGATCGTGACTTAGAACTGTTAGATCATTTCTCTAAGGTGCTTGTGACATCATCGTTGTCTAATTTTTCATCTGGATGTAATCTTTTAATAATTGTATCATATTCCTCACAGATTATGGATACTTTCGCAAATTGCATATTCAACAAGGATAAGAGACAGTTTGAAAAAATTCTTGCTGAGGTAACGGACGACTTGCAAGAATTTGAAGATGAACTTAATGCACGCAACACAACCTTTTTCGGAGGTTTGTATAGATCTATGCTCCTACTTTTTTCTTTCTCCTATAATCTTTTAATATTTTTAATGAGCCATGTTTTCTCGATTGCTCTTAACTGAATGATAATTATATATATAAAGATTTGCAGTTGGATTTACATTTTATAAAATTTTTGTTTTAGGGAGTAATCCAGGTATGCTAGACATTCTAATATGGCCTTGGTTTGAACGTGCAAAGGCTCTAACTCTACTTTATAAACAACGTGCAAGTCTCGACAAAGAAAGGTTTCCTCGTATTGTAAGCATACATTGTATCCAATAACATTATTTATCAACAATAAAAATTAAATTAAAATTTTATAATTTTGGAATTTTTGAAGACGTTCGAGTGCATAGGATTTTCTCAAAATTTATTTAATTATATATATTTTTATAATAAAATATTGAATATAATGCTTTCATTTATATAAAATTAAATTGTGAATTTGTGTATGCATTATTAATTGATTTCCATAAGCTATAATAAAAAGTTGTAAATTGTTGATTGTAATTATCTGCTAATGAATTTGTTAATGAAATCTCATTTGTCTAATCAAATTTCTTTTAATTACAGTGACTAGTTGCATAATGCAAAATTGCATTGATATAATTACTCAAGAGAATAATTATTTATTGATCACTGTTCGCTGTATTTCAGATGGAATGGGTAGATGGAATGAAAGACCAGCCGTTCATCGTAAAACACAGATGTCCATATGATAAATTCGCGAAGTTTATAGAAGCTGTAAGAACGGGAAATGTTGATTATGACAATCTTTAAATGTGTTTGCATGGTATAATATAAAAGCTGCTGCAAAAATAAATAACACGAAATTGCTTGACGTAAATTAACATATTAACACGATGATATCATGATATTATTAACATCGATAACGTGTTTGATCTTATATATATTAATTTTTCTATGTTGTTTCTATTAATTCTCTGTGTTAATTTCTCTGAAATTTTTATGTATGTTATATGTTTTATGTGCGTTAAATATTTTTATGTGTTAAATTTGATTTTATATATATAGAGTTTTATTTTTATTTTAGTATATGTTATACACTGTGCCATGTAATTGTATGTTTGCAATGTTTAAACTTTTTATTTAATTATACTTGTGATTACTTAAATAGGTTTATCTAATAAGTGGCCTGTACTTTGACATTATTAAGCACTCTGAGATTAAGTGTAATTAAGTGTAATATTCTGCATAATATTAAGTTAATTAATGTGCATTTTAATAAGGCACTAATTGAATATATTATAATTGTTGCTGTTAATATAAATTGCAAATCAACATAACGCATTATTTATAATGCATTAATCCCTTATGTTTTTAATTAATAATAAAATACAAGCTTTATTATACAAATGTCTTATTTTCATAACGCTTTATTGAAGCAATAACATTTTTTGTTTGCATATTTTATTTCTATGTTACGCTACTATTTCGAAATTTTAAACAGTTGAGTTATTAAAATTAATAAATAATAGATACATATAAGAACTGCATTTAATTAAACCGATAGATCCGTTTGTTTTATTCATCGTTTTCGTAAATTTTATTTTCTTAAGAGCTTTAATTTACATATTTAATATAAACAAATTAAAAGATTGCCATAAGAATAGCGTACAATTTTCGATGAAGAAAAGTTGCATAAATTTGAACAAAGAACTCATAGTTCAGATACGTTTTATTTAATACATCTAATTCAAACGTTTCTTTACTGTTTATGACAAATTCTCAAATAATTCAAGAGCGAACATGTAACATCTCTTCTCTGTAATTTCATTTAATTAAAGCAATGTTCAAAGATATTCTTGATACCGAAACTTATCTTTGTTATATCGATGGTATTGTCTGGCATTATCAACAAAAAATGGATTTGCCAAAAATTCAGGGAAATATTTCAGATTTACATATCACAGATTTTATTCCTATTATACACATTATACACACTTCTACGTTATATTTTTCAGCACTATAACAACAATATATATAATATTTTTATTAATATTTTATCAGCAGCATAAGTACGTATCCTCGTTAATAATTATTGCGTTATCATTAATTGCTTATCATACGTAAACCCAAATTTTGTTGCTAACGTCATTATCGGAAACCACCGATCTATTTTTTTTTTCTATGCATTCTTTGAACTTGCTTATTATTACAATTTGTTAGAAGTCATTACAAATATAAATTGGTATAGATCTTTGTAATTCGTTATAATTGAATACTTGCAAGCCGTTGCTAGTCAGTTTAGTTCGATACAATTGATTACAATAATTTATTCTTATCAATAATTTCTTTCACAGCATTACGGGCGGATAATGAATCTAAATCTAATAATTTTCTTTGAATTTTAGACAAACTAGATAGAAATAAAGAGAGATAAGCATACGTTTCTTTTTATTCTATATATGATTCTTAAAAAAGCGGTAATTTTCGAACAGCCTTATTCTATAAAATTCTTTAACTTTCGAAAATTAGCTCATTAACAATTAACAGTTCACACTTTATTTTTAAGTTTATTGGACGATATAAATTTTTTATAATTAATTAGTTTCATTTTTTATCTCTTCAAAAATAATTTTTATTAATATCTCTCGTTGTAGATGAAATTAGTAACGATATTTTTAATATTTATTAAAATCTTTCTGTGTATTCATATTTTTATATTCAATAAGGATTTAAAAAATAAATACTATTCTTTATTTCCTTTCACTTTTAATTTAGATTTTAAGGCAAAATTTCGAGAAATTTCGAGATAATTTTTCCAGCAAAAGATGAATAAGAATTATCTATTACAAAAAAAAAAAAATTATTTAAATTTCTTTAATTATAATGGATGGCTTCTAAGCGTTATTAATTTCTGTATAAGAGAGGCAAATATCAATTCCTGTAGGATTAATTCTTGTTGTGAACTATGCAATTGTCGTAATTGCGAAAGTAAAAAGCGGAGTATAGGAGACTTGTTAAACGATCGATATACATAATTCATAAATCAACGAATGTATGGATCACCAAACCGTGCATTTATTCGGGGGATTCATTTTTGCTCCGAGTGGACAGCGGAAAGCTTCTACGAATGCCTGAGAATTCATCATGACACTATTGACTCTGAAAATGCAATCAATCATTGCGTCTTACTCTCGTCCTATGAAAAGATTTCGAATCGCAGAAATCGAAGGAGAAGATAAGAAAAATTCAAAGTACCTCTCTGGATGAGGAGCATGGTAGTCGAACTCAACGGAGAAGACGTAAGCCTCGACGGTCGTGTTAACGCAGTATATCTGAGAACAAATGTCGTTGACGCTAACGTTATCTTTCTTTTTTTTTGTTTTTTGCAATACGAATAGAGGGAGAAAATTAAAAGAAATCCATCCAAGGACAGGTTACCTGAGCGGCACTTATGAAGAAAAGCTGACTTGGACGGAGTCCCTCTAATCCAGGGAGGCTACGATCCTTCCCGTTCGTCAAAGTATGCCAGGTCTTGTGGGAAATCTGCAGCGCACCGATATCAGCTACGTTCTCGTTCTTCGTCACGTTCCAATCGAACTGTGTAACACAGAATTGAGAAAAGAAATTGTTTCAATTTGTTTCTCATAACAGGAGTCTTGTTTTGCCTAGCGATGTGCCGGATAGTAAAATTGCCGGATACCGGATATTTTGCCGGACATATCCGACACATCCCTAGTTTTGGTCCTGAAGACAATCTACTTGTACAGCAACGTCGTTCCCGTAGGACTGGACCTTCCGCCAGAAGCTCCTAGCGTAAAGTCTCGCGACGCATTCTATCCTGGCCTCCAGTCGTTTCCACGAGTCCGGTGTGACGCGAAGCCACTCGTCGACGTCCCGTTCCGGTTCCGCTGGTAGTTTACGACGGTGAAAATCAAACGCGTGGAGAATCTCGTGCGCGATCACCGATCCCAGGGTGGCGTGTACCGCGAAAGCCGGCCCGCCGTCCCACGACCATGCCCAGGACGTTATCATCGCCAGGGGAATCCCTTCCGTTTTTTTTTTTAACAAGAACAGCTTTACTAAACGTTACTCGTCGAGGCCGATCTTCGTTGCGTCGCGTTGCAACGGACTGTGACTTACCGATAGTGTTTGTGGAGGATTCGTAATAAGCGTGCACGGAGTAAGGATAGTGACGTCTGAAAATACACAAATCTACGATTTATCACCAGTTCCATTAACCGCGGATTGACTCGAATGACTCGGCTTAACTTATTTTGCATTTGTTCTTTTCTAATTTTAAAACTTAAACTTGAAAAAAATAAAGAATAAGTTAAGCCAAGATTAATTATCTACATTGGAAATGGACAGAGAAAGCGAAGGAAACAAAAACTGATGAGTACAAAATTGATGAGTAGCTGCAGTATGTACTAATGTTTTTTATAATTAATTACAATTTAAGGATCTTTATGAACTTGTATACAATAAAATAATAATAATAATAATTACTCAAATGTACTTACAAATTTAGGAAATAGAATATAAAACTTACAGAAATACGATACAAAAAAAGCGACAAAAGAATTATTTGAGAACAATTAAATTTTTTATCTTACGATATTCGTGGACTTCTAATTAAAAAAGTTAGACGAAAGTTTCCTTCACCTTACTATGGCGTTTCTTCGTAACGGACTTCGCTCCTGTGGTTTTCGCATCTGATGGAATCTTTTGAGGACGGTAGCGAAAAAGTCATCCGAGTCGATTACGATCTACGAAACAAGGCTGTTCAGGAATACTGATAAAAAAGACAATAGGGACAATTTTAAAGTTTATATTATTTTATCGTAGACGATCATTATCCGTTCCTATTCTTCAGTTAGGAAAAAATATATACTTTTATTTTGTTTTAATCGTTTTGTTTTAGTTTGTCTTGGCGTTTCAATATTTAAATACGTGTAAAAAAAATGGTAGCTTCACCTCGGCCATTTCACGTGCCAGCAAGGTGTCGTTGTAAAAATCGGGCGACACGTGAAACTGACCCAGCAAGGAATTCAATTTCTGCAACGCCTGTGTCCTGGTCTCGTCATCCAGCCACGATTTCACCAATATACGTTCAGCTATTGTCTCCTTCACGCGTTCGAATAGCGCGGTCACCTACGGAATAACCGCTAATAATTATTTTATTAATAAATTAAGGCGAAGATAATAATTAATCCTTCAACTGATAAAATATTTAAACAAATTTATATATTGTGTATGCGAGGTGTCTGTCTAAACGATGAACGTCTAAACGATGAATAAGGACGTTTCATTTCCTTCTCAAATTCGTGTAATTTGTTGAAATCAATTGGCCGCGGCAGTTAAAGGGTTAAATCGACGGATTAATAATATTACCCTGTTAACCAGAGTTTCTAAGTACTTTGGAGTGTACTGTCGCACGTAGAGCGCACTGATCGCCTCGCTGAAGATGTTTCTGGTCAGTCTGTAACAGGAAGCTTCCCAGTCCTTGATCGCGGTAACATTCGCAATGTCGTGCAACGTGTTCGTGGCGTAGAGCAACAGCAACCCGTTATGAATAATCCTTCGTAATTACAGTTAATCAAATAATCAATACAAGATATACGTTTCAAGCAGAATATAATTATTTACACTTATATATAAAATACACTATTGCTCACATAAGATCTTGGATATTTTTTTAAAATAAAAATACATATGCTTGCATAATGTTTTTTTTTATTTTAATCACAATAATTTAGCCTTTTTAATTAAAAAATATCTATCAAAGATTGAAAAACTTACATTACTTTCATTTTGATTTTGTGTCCACTTTATGAACGACAGGATATATATATATATATATATATAAATTAATATTAAATATTAATTAATGTATAATGTATTAATATATATTTAAAAAATATAAATAAAATTACAAACAATATAAAATACATATATTTTATACTATATCAATTTCTTCAATCTTCTAACCGGTATATTATACATAAATCTCTTTCAAAATTCTTCTCTTTTTCTCTTTGTAGAGAAAAAGCTTAAATTCGCAAAAAATTTGGCTTTAAATCTTGTGAAATATGTGTCTTGAAATATGTGAACATTATTAGTGCATGCGAAATTACAACGATAAATATTTGTACCGTCTGGAGGAGCGACTTAACAGCTTGCCAAGACTGCGGAAGTAACGTGGAGCTGTGATGTAAACGTAGATCTGCTGGTCCTCGGGTGCGATGTATGGTGATCGTACAAGATTCGTGTCGTTATTGTCATCATGAAATTCGTCGCCGTTCGTACGATAAAGTAACGTTGTGTTCAATAACGATTTCCATTTTATCTGTTTCAGAATTATCGAATCAAAATTCTCATTCTCATATTTTGAGGAAAAAAAAAAGCTCGATCGATTACGGAAGGAACGATTAATTAATAATTAAAAGACCAAAGGCCAAATCTGTAATAATTTTGTTGAATCATTAATATAATTAATATAAGATAAGATTAGAAAGTTCAAATTGATTGCTAGAATGTAAAAAATAATTCTCATCATCTTAAACGTCCAATATAATTATTTTAATGATACAATAAAATTATTTTTAACTAAATTGATTAATTTTTAAATACATCAGCAAAACCGTTTTCCGCGCATCGAGTTGGGTACCGCGTACTTACGTAGCCAAAGTTTTCTTGAAGATAAGTAACGTTATAAGCGACGTATACCCTCTGATCAACGTCCACCCAATTGTACAAGTCTTTGTGCTTTGGATAAATCTGAGATAACAGACGCAATTTATTCGCTATTTCATTACTTTAAAGCGATAATGCCTCACCTTCTCGAGCGATAAGCAAAACTGCAAGAGCAGATCCGTCTCCGACGACTGTTCCTCAGGATCCATATTCTTTGGCAAGAACCCTCGGGCAATCTCTTGAATTCTACGCGATCTTTGTACGTCTCTGTTTTTCTGGAAATATACATCATAACAT